TGAAACTTCACAGAAATTAAATTAGCAAAAAGCAGGCATAAAGTAAAATCCAGATGCATGTTATTATTTCTCTTTTGCTTACAGATCTATTTGCTTCCTCTGTTTTTCCCCTGTGAAGTCAGGGCAGCAGTTAGAGTATCATTTCAACAGATTAAACAGATAAGCAGAGAGCTGTTTTTTTAAATAACATTTTACAAATCTCCACAGCAAGCCCATTAGTCAAAGAAAAAAAGCAGATATTTGGGGAGGTTTGTTAAAAATTATTACAGGGATTGAAAGTGATTCTTTTTTAAACTAAGTGTAAATTATTGCCAGGAGGATCTCTGGACTTTGTAGCTTTGTAAACTGCCCTGCACCTAAACAGTTATTAACATACACTACACTTGCATAAGACTTCTTTTCTTCTACTGCAAGCTGATTTTTTTTTTTTTTTTCAAGGTTTGGTGTCACTGAAGTGCAGTGTAAAATTGTGGCTATTGTTGGCCTCTTTACACACTGTTCCTAATTTAACAAACAGAGCAGTTTAGAAGGTCAAATAGGAAAACAATATCTTAAGAAAATAGCAACTTCTGTGGCTTTGAAATAAAAAAAAAATCAGTGCCAAAATGTTTATCTCCTCGGTTCACGAACCCATAAAATAAGTACAGCACCGTGAATCATCTCAAAACTTCAAAGCCTGTATGCCCAGCGTACCATTTTAGGGCCATTAAGTTGTACAGCTACTGTACTTCTAGTAAATAGTTATACAAAGCTGTAGCAGCAGTGCCAACGACTTCACCCTTGCAGCAAAATCTTCTTAAAGCTACACTCTTTACCATGAACTCACTGTGTAATCTCAGAATGTCTCTTACCATCTTAAGAGCTTCTGCACAAAAAAATTACTGAAGATCACATTGAAAATACCAGGCTCCTTTAGAGAATACAATACTCCAAATATAGATATTAAATTATATACACAGTAAGGGAATAATGAAACACAATAAGCTAATTCTTTTGACTTATCAGCATTTCTGTAGAAAAGCAAAGTAATGGTTTTGCTCATTGCAAAAAGACCATGGTGGAAATTCACTAAACTAAAAAACTTCATTCTATACGACTGAAGGTGGTACTATATCCCCAAGATGTTATGCAAACCAAGAAGAAAATAGAAAGCCATATCTTTCAGGAATATGTGATTCAGAAGTGAGCAGAACATTTATTCATCCATACTGATACCTTGCCTACCTTGTGATTTTTAGTGACATGTCCCAGTTAAATGGTAAAAGGCTCGATTTACATGTGTAAAGTTAAGCCCATCACAATCTGTTTGCACCCACCTTGCGCAGCTGCTTGCTCTTCCAGCTGACTGGGGTAATCAGAAGGCACCACTGCTACCTTACAGGGCCATCTGGGAGGACTTAAGCCAAAACCCCCATTAGGGGGGAACGTAAAGAGCAAGTCCTATGGGGCACCCTGAATTTTTTGTATATGTCATAGAACACTGTTCAAGACTTTTGTTAATGTAATCTGGCAAACCCACTTTTATCAGTGGCCAAGGTTTCAAAGGCAAATCAAAACATGCTTTTAAACACGTGGCATGTTATGAATTGCACTGTCATGGGAGAACTTTGTTATGACCTCAGTTAACAATCATGATATACTTAAATATTGAAGATAATTTTTTAAGGTTATGCACAAGAAGCTGCCACAAGTTCTGTTTCCCCCAGCAGTTTATAACACTATCTAGATTGCAGAGTCAAATTAAGCAAGATTGAACTATTGCTGAACAAGTTGCAATGAAGATATAGATCATTTCTCACCTTCCCCCCAGGGTATGTCTGCAAAGATACCTCATTTTGGAGATTGTTCTCAGCTTTTCTTTATAACAGATCTCTGCCTACATTACACTACATAGTTCATCATTAATTAATTTTATTACTTCTTTTTGTAGAATATATTCACTTCTGTCCAGTACCTCTTCTAGTGACCTGTTTATTCACACTCACTGATGTACATCAGAAAGACTGGCTGACCAAAACAACATCTTTACTAGTTGCTTTGACACACTCCCTCTTCTTTAAAGCCTACACAGAAAAATAAACTCCAGACATGTCCCTGAAAGTCCTTATGCTTATTTGTAAGCTGTATCTTTATTACATTTCTGCTCTATTAATATCAATTTCTTCTTCAAGAAATATGCTTTTAACCCAGATACTCACATTGGCTCTGCTTTTTGCTTTCTGTCAGCTAAGTGCCTGCATTCAGCTAAATGAACTCGTGCAATGCTTCCAAGGTTTGAGAGATGTGCATAGGAGAGGCTGTTTCCTGCAACTGCTTTTTTCTGCTGGTAAAAAGCACATTCACTTTTAGAAAAAGATGTTTTTACCCTCAATTCTGAAGCTTGAAACCTTAGTAGATTAGCTGAGAAAATAACTGAGTGGAATCCCACAATGCTGTTGCACAAAACACTTCACCTAACAGAAGTTATTTAATTCCTCTGTTTATGAGTAAAGTATACAAATATCCTCTCTAATTAGGCATTATCGCATAATTCCTAGTAATCATGGAGTATTCAAAGGCAACATACTGTGGAGGTGAAAATACAACTTACATTGCCAGACACATTTCTGTCAATATACATTGCCAGTACATTCCAGAAGAAGGAAACAGGCAAACAGTCCAAGCAAAGGTCTTTGAAAGGTGACCAGTACTTCTAAGATTTAATATCGGCAACTAAGAACACTCAACCTTTTCTAGGGACCACATGAGAGATTAAAAAAAAATAAATAAATATTTAAGCACTAAGCTCCAAAATTCCTGCTCTAAGAGGACACAATTTTAGAGGCAGGTAAACAATTGGGCCTGAATTCTTTTAAATCAACTTTCTAAAATACTTTAATTTCTGCTTTTCGTCATGCATACTGTCCCCCAAGACACAACACCAAGAACCAACTAGATGTCCAGCACTTCCAGAATTCCCAAACTATTCATATCCTACCTCCTCTGCCTTAGGAATTTCCTTTGGTATGACTGTTTGTACAGTGCCTAACAGATTAAGCTATAACTGGGAAGGAATTCTTTTTTTTTTAACAAAAGTTCACTGGTTTTATATCAAACCTCACCTGCTACAGTACTTACTAATTCATATACATAGAGCCATTTGGCTTAGTTTCTCCTTGGGAGCTATTTTGGCAATCAAAAGGCACATTTATTTAAATGTAAAATACATTGGATATACACAAATAGTTTATAACTTCATACATTTGATTTTCCAATTTCAGAAGCTTGTGTAGGTAATAAAGGGTATATTTGGTAAATCAAGTGGTTTTTTGATCTTCACCAGATGTAATCATCTTATGACAAACAGTTTTAGAGAGATTTCTGAGTAAAAAATGTATCTAAGTTCCCTAACAGTGTTGCTTTGTATCTAAACACATTTTCTTTAATTACAATAACTATCAAAATCAAATGTCATAGAAGACATACGTTTCCAGTTGAACAACGTAATGAATTTAGAGTGCGGTAAATTCACATTGAATGTAAATTAATTGATTTTAAGAGACTTAGACTAATTATATCTCTAAAATTGGTAGAAAAGTCATTTGAATTTAGCTGTTCTGATAGTGAATACCTTTAACACAATGGACATATGTTCATTTTTCAGAAGCATTTCATAAAGGCATGATCCAAAGCATACCTAAATTAACAGGAAAACCTGCCCTTGACTTGAACAGACTGTGGATCACATCTTAACCACTGTGGCTTTGTCAAGAATAAAATTCTCAGGTGATTTCTTATAAGATACGATGAGAAATGAAACACACACAGGTTCTCATTGATCATAGCTGGAGCCCACAAAGTGACATGTGAAAAGTAGTAAAAAGGGAACCCATGAGGACTGGAAAAGACTCAGATTTTATGGGTTATTGATTTACCAGGAAGAGTCTTGCCAAGTTTAAATGAAGGAAAACAGAAAAATGGGATAACCCATGTGTAATGCTGTTGAGGTAATGCACTACGTGAGTGAAAGCTGTGGTAGTGTTGTCTAACATCCCTTCATAAAGCAGCTGCATATTTTTAACAAAGTAAATGGATACAGTAAAAATTAGAGATCAGAATCCCAGTGAATTTTAAATTATCGTGTATGCATCATGTATGCATATTGTGTATGTTTTTACAAAGCTAGAAATATGGCATGTGCAATAAATTTCCAATAAACACTTAAATGTTAGCTTATGAAAAGTAGTCTTCTAGACTGAAATTTTAAAAGATGATGAATTTTAATTGCAAAACTGCTCTCTCATTTCATTGGTATAAATTAATTAAACCACATGAATGAATTAGTAATATAACCTTCAAACAAAAATATTACATTCTTGCCACAATTCTGATTCCCTTCAAGAAAAGAGGGGCAACCATGATGCACCAAAATGATAAAGATAAAAACACCTAGTTCCAGTAGGAAGAAAATTTCATACAAAAATTGCTATTTTGGCTCTGATTTTCAGACCCAAAACTCATGGAAGATCTGTAACTTATGGTCAAAAAGATAAACTGGTAATTAAATAATAATACAAGTTCTTATGGGCTCAATAGTAATGCTGAGTTTATGGCTTACATTACAGACATGAAAGTAACTCTTGTTCCAAAAGGAATCTAAGTAATTAACATAATTTAATTAGATTAAATTGATTAGATTTGGCTTTTAGTAATCTGGTTTTACCTTTAATTTCGCTGGGTTTTGTCTGAAAAAAAATTATTTGCAATCAAAACCTGTCCAACATTCTACATTGTGGGGAAATACATTTTCTTAAATAAATCTTTCTTCAAAAGTCACTTACACTGCGCTATAGTTTTTTATCAATCAATATAACATAAAATTTGTGACTTTGTATGCATTTATACTTAGGTGAACAATTTACATGAAATTAGAAGGTGTAGCATGAAAACCGGGATGTCTTTTTTGTGTTGCTTTGCCATGTAGATGCCTTTGTAGTCCACTGGGGCTTTTTTTTCCTTACCTGGAACTCTCTTTGCCCAGTTGATCATATGCACTAATTCTCTGTCTGCAAGGTTGGTCAACAGGGTCATCATAGAGGCTTCGTTGAATGGTCTATTTGGGTCATATTCAGAATAAACTATCGGTGGCTCAGCTTCCAGCAAGGCACTGACCATCTGTTCTGCCGTCAGGGATAGGGCGGGACTGTTCTTCTTGTTATGTTTAACCACCACTGGACTTGTCCAAAGGGTGGGAGCTCGCAGCTCCGTAGAAGAAGCCTCCCCGTTCCTGGAATCCTGCTCCTCTCTTTGACGTTTTTGTTTCATCATTCGCCCACCTCTGCGGTCTTTCCGGATTCCTAGAGACACACAAGAATATAATGAGCTCCTTTCCTTGAACATATGTATTACCTACACATTGGCTTTAGCCAATAAGCAGCTGCTGTTGCTAGACCCAGGCAGCAGTAAACCTTGGATTATCTTCTGAAGAATTATTCCTACATATGGAATCACACATGAGTAGTTGGAGAGAAAAACTATTTTAAAACTTATAGTGTCACCCCTTACTAAAATTTAGATCAGTTGGCCTTACACAGGACTCTAGACTAGTGACACTATAGAGCTGCCTTAGCCTCACAAACAGTAGTCGGTAATTGGGAATAAATATTTCTTTAGAGCACAAACTTCAATGTCCCAACCTCTTGCAGACAGCTCTTCTATAAATGATCAATGATACCTTAATGATCTGTGTGGGCCAGATAGATCACAGAAGTAGCTCTCAAAAATTATCCATGAAAGTTTTGCTCAAGTTCACCAATTATTTTAACTAAATATCATCCTATTACTGAGCCTGTGATCTTCGTAATTACATAAAAATCGTACAAAAAATGTTCCCATTTTAAGATGAGCTTATACAGCAATAAAGAATGCCATCTAAGTAGATAAACAGAAGCAAGAAAAGGAAAGATAACGGTAACCTCAGAATCTAATGTTAGAGACCTACTGTCAAAAGGCTGTAATAACTATAACAGAAACTGTCTTAGTCATTACTGCACATTTCTGCAATGTGCTTAGCACTGTATGACCCTGAACCTTGGGATATTATCAAGTCAGCCATACCAATTAGAACAACAACATAAGACCTTAGAGTGGAACAAAATCTCCCTTTGTGGAAAGGTTACAAGAAAAACATAATGATAAAGCCCATGTCGACTCCAACCATAAAGGGAAGATTAAGTCTGGCTCTGAGTGGAGGAGGCACAAGCATTTTGAGGCTGAGTTAAAAACTTAAATCAATCATCAAGTGGGGGCGAGGTACAAGCATGTAATAAGGAAAGCACACAAGAAACTGAGCTATGAGGAGAAGGTAATGACGGGGCTTACTCTGGAGTTCTCATGCAATGTGGAAAAGCAGCACTAGTTCCACTTTGAAAACCAAAAGAAACATCATCTATAGACAAGGAGGCAAAGGATTCAAGCAACAGAGAAGACAGAACAATTTATTTATAAAAAAAAAAAAAAAAAAGCTTTGAGAACTGCTGGCACTTGCAAGTAATCAGTACACATCTTTCTGACCAGTGGGGGAGTGGGAAATACAATCTTTGCTCAGCTTTTTTCACACCACAAAAGTTTAAGCCTTTAGATTCCCAGTATTTGTTAGCAACATCTTCATCTCACATCCAATATTCCTTCATATAAATGTTGGATCATATCAGCAGGTGTCTTTTCTCAATTTCAGAGGAACAGAGATCTCTTGATCTGTTTGCCTTTCTCTGAATATGGTGATTTTTTCACTGAATTAGTACTTGAAGATTAAGCACTTTTAAGTCTAATTAATTCAAAATCTAGTAGGCCTCCTGATTCTATTCTATTAATCTTTCCAGATAAAGCAAGTTCAATAAATCTTTCATCACTCCTACTACTTAACCTCTCTACATTTTTCCATTCTTTAAACTCCTTGTAAGCCAAAAGTCTCAAGTGCATTGCTGCTCCCGTCTTTCATTCAGCAAGATCAATTTTTTGTACCACTGAAATGTTTAGGAGAGGAGGAGGAGATTTTTACAATTAAGGAGAAGACTTATTTTGTCAAAATGTCATCCTAGTGTTGTTCTCATTGGTAGCTTTCTTCATTGCAATACTCAATAGCATGCGTGCTCTATCTGTATTTTTGCTTTATGCTTTCTATCAATGTAATATTTTTGAATTAAAATTGCTCTGTGAAACACACAGACATAATCATTTGAGCAAAACCACATGAATCATGCACACTAAGGCATTTGTTAACTTTCTCACATCCCCAATTCTACAGTTGCTCATCTAGTAGTTTCCTTTTGAAGTGTTAAAAGTATCCTTGGGGCTGTACTGTTGAACATACTCATAAATAGATGGACTCAGAACTGACATAATTCAAAAACAAGATCTTAAGGTTATAATAATACTATAAAAACATCAGATAAGTTCGTTTAGAAAGTAAATAGAAGGCTAGAAATTACTAAGAGAGGGAGGGAGGACAGAGCATCTTCATAAATCAGATTTTATTAACTCATGAAGCACACTACAATGAGCACTGTGCGGTTCTGTTCTTCCCATTAAAAAAAAAAAAAAAAAAAAAAAAAAAAAAAAAAAAAACCCTCTAAAAAAAAAGGGATAAGAGAAAGACAAGATGATCCTAAGTGTGAACCAAGTTTGGTGCAAGAAACAGCTAAATTGACTGTCTACTTGGCCTGCAAGTCAGATACAGATCAGGAGTGGCAAGAAGATTAATAAAGCCCAAACGCTCCCACTTCTCTTCTAATACAAGATGGTATCAAATGAAACTACCCCATGTAAGGTTCAGGACAGATGAAAAGAGTTTCTTTTTCACACATGCAGAAGCAAAGCTGAATGTGTGAATAGATTAGAAGCTGCTATATATTAGAAAACTGTCGGCCAAATTTAATGAAGAAGGAATACATTAATGGTTAATAAACACAAGTAAGGCACCTTTGATTTAAGTCCCCATGGCATAGATTACTGGAAGATCAGAAAGGACTTTTTTTTTGTTTTGTTTTTTACTTATTCCAGGCCTGCCTTGTTAAGTAAAACAAGGATGCATAAGAATTTCACAAAGCAGAGGAAGGTGGCAAATGTAAGCACATTTAGCAGCTTACAAATCAACTACATTCTAAATAAGAACAATAGTTTTGTTTTTAATTTGTCTGCAAGCTTTCCACTGTCTTTTCTTCACCTTGAAAAAAGCGGTGTATTCAGCAAAGTTGAACATAACTGGTTTGGAGGAGATGCCCCAGACAAATTTATTTTTACATTTTAATTTCAGGATTAAAAAAACCCAACAAATCAACCAAATATAGTAACCTTACACTGGATTTTGTAAAGACCACATGTGAGGAAAAAAAAATCAGTAAAAGTATGCATTCCTTCTGCAACACATCAGCAGCTTTTATGATCACAGAATGATCTGTATAAGCATCATACTCATCAGAGATTTACAGAAATTACTACTAACTCTAACCCCTCGATAGACGAGCAACACAGTGATTTTATTATTCATTTTCTTGGACCAAATAAGAGTGACATCTCCCTGAAAAATGCAAGTGCCTCCAAATCTCCATCAGCTTAGTCAAATTTATCTCTCTTAAAAAGAGATAATAGTGATGCATAGTCACTAATTCCAAGAAAGACAACTCTATCAAGCTACAGTTTCATTGGCAAAAGTGCAATGATCCTGTAAGTTTTTTTTAAATATATGAATGCATTAATTTTGATTCCACAGTTCAGCCAACAAAGGAACCTGAAATGCCAAGTGCTTATGAAAAGCAACATTCTACCAAAAATGGAAGTACTATGTTTCTTGCAAAAGCTCTAAAATAATTTCCACTTGAGTTTTAAAGCTTCAAGAGCCAAGATTTTCAAAGACAATTTTATAGAACTTCATATGTAAATTCAGTCAGCCTTTTAGATATGGAGGTTTCAAAACTGCTGATTAATTATATATTCCAGTCAGTAAAACCTGATCAGCAATAAAATTGCATAATGACAGTGGAGGTAACGTTAACCAAATGAAAAACTTCACTGGGGTTTTCCAATATGTGATTAAAATGGAACAAAAATTAATTTTGTATTATTTACAAAAATAATAATTGCTAAATAATAAATAAATAATAAATAAACTGCAAAGAACGAATTTTCTCCTTTACACCTTCAGTATTATATAAAATATTCAAGAATATTTACAGGAAGAAGAGAAGGAGAACTGGCAGAATAAAATTTGCTTTTCTCTATGTGAACCACAGAATTATGCATTTTAGATTTAAAGATATACATATAATCTCAAATTCTATTCTACTTAAAGATATTAACTCCTTTATATAATATTCTTAAATTTCTTTATTATTAGAAATTTTGTAGGAATATTTGTCAAGTCAAAAATGTTTTTTGTTTGCAATAAATGGAAACAAATTTGATAAAACCCAATAAAATTTTCTTGGCACTAAGACTGAAAAAAAAATAGTTATTTGACAAAACTGAAGCAGCCAAGATATTTTTATGTCCTTCTTTTTGTTCACTACTCTGGAAATCTTAAACACAACAGCTATTGCTTTTTGTCTTGTTTGCAACACCCACCTTCTATCTGGAACACTTTCTGTGCTATTTTAATTGACATGATACAAAAAAAAATCCAGAAGACCTTCATCTTCTCTTTCTTCCTTACGCACAACATTGACTCTGCTTGCCCACAAGAGGGGTGGGTATTAATATGGAAACTTCATCTGCCTGTCATTGTAAAATATATTCACTTGCAGCCTGTTTATTAACTCATCTCTTAACACTCTCTTCACACTCACACTCCATTTCGGCTGTGCTGGAGTTCCAAACAGCTTTCCGACAGCTGCAAGCAAAAACTACAGTAAAGTTACTTACTACAAATAGTACCTTTTTTTGAAGTCTAAAACTCTCAGGTGAATCGCATGCTTAATGCATTCCCCAATATTTTTGGAATGAAATCTACCCCAAAATTCTACAGAGGTCTAGTCCTCTAACTGCATTTTAGTATACAGATTTTCAGCACATCATTTTTTGACTCACTGTATCGGTGGTCATCAATCACGGTGAATTCAGGCATTTTACATGTGGAGCTCAGCCTCACAAAGAACACTAACTCCTTGATGTGCAACCTCCTGGATCACCTCAGAAAAGGTGAGACATCAGCCCTGAGCAACATCCACAACCTAAAAAACTTTAGACTTTCTTTAAGTTTCTGTTTCAAATGCATCTCTGTGCTTCACCTTGCAAACAATCTGCAAAATCAGTTACTAGTATCAAGGTACATATTTAACTGTGGCAACAGAAATAAAGTTTT